AAAAAAAAATTGGGAGTGGTGCATTATGTAATTTCATTATTTTGTAGACATATGTGAATACTAAGACATTTTTGTAGTTTGGTTGGCTGTTAACCATTCATTCTTATCACTGAAAAAATAATAATTAAAAAAAGATAACACATACTACATTATTAACAGAAAAATATAACATTAAAAAAATAAAATTAAAAAAGTCGATAGTTTCCCCTGAAATTTACAAAGTCATGAGATAAAATTGAAGATAGTTAAAAAATAGAAAAAAAAAATACTTATTCCCACGTTATATGCATCAAGACCTAATTTTATCTAGCAAAATCATTTTTTTTTTTTTTTTAAAAAAAAAACCAATTTCTCAACTATCCCTAAAATTGGGCAACGTTTCGAGCAAAAATCAACCCACAATCTACTATAGATCGAAAAATCAACACACATATTATGTAAAGCTTCGATTCTCTTTCAAACACACCAAATTGCATAAAATGCTTTGATATCGAAGATTAAATCGATAAAATGGCAAATTTTCATAACCTTCGACTTATCATCACATGCAAGCACGAAAAAGTCATAAGTATAAACTACTAATTGAAATAAATTTATATAATTTATTTGAGAGATGAAGCCTTGATGATAAAAAACCACAACTCAATTTGATCCAAAATGAACTATAAATTGATGAAGATCTTCGATTTTGGATCGGGGTAATATTTTTCAGCAGCAACGATTTGAGCAAAAATCCACCCACACAAATCAACACTCATATTATGTAAAGGATTCAATTCTATTTCAAAAGAAACAAATTGCAGCAAAATTGATTCGATGTCAAAGATTAAATCGACAAAATGGCATACTTTACATAACCCTAAACTTTTCATCACATGCGAGCAAGAAAATATTCATACAAAAAATGACTAGATGATAAATAAATTTATCTAACTTATTGTAGAGATGAAGCCTTGATAATAAAAAAACCACAACTCAATTTGATCCAAAATGAGCTATAAATTGATCAGGGATCTTCAATTTCAGATCAAGGTAACATATTTGAGGAGCAACATTTTGAGAAAAATTCCACCCACACATGCATATTATGTAAAGGATTTTATTCTCTTTCAAACATTACCAAATTGCAGTAAAAATGGTTTGATATCGAAGATTAAAGCGATAAAATGGTGGATTTTTCAAAACCGAAAATTTTTCATCACATGCGAGCAAAAAAATATTCATAGAAAAAAATTACTAAATGATAAATAAACTTACCTAATTTATTTGAGAGATTAAGCATTGATGATAAAAAACGACAACTGAATTTTATCCAAAATGAGCTATACATCTTATCGGGATCTTCAATTTTAGATCGAGGTCATGTTTTTCAGCAGAAATATTTCGAGCAAGAGTCGACCCACAATTTTATGTAGATCAAACAAATCAACATACATATTATGTAAAGGCTTCGATTCTCTTTTAAACGTACCAAATTGTAGCAAAAATGATTTGAAATTGAAGATTAAATCAATAAAATGATAGAATTTTCAGAAATTGTGAAAAAAGGCACACAAAATCGATTGAAATTTTTCTTTTATGAATGTTTGATTCCCAAAACCTAGTTTATAGCCATATTACAACGATTTCGATCAATAATTTATTGGAAAGGCCCAAAATATTGCAGAGAAAAACATAAAAAAGCATCACAAAGCCTAAAAAAAAAAAAATCAAACTTTGACCCCAATGAGCATTACTGGCTCAGCGTTTCGACTCGCTATTGTAACAAATCACCGATTCATTATAATAGAATCGGCGATCCAAGGGTGATTGGGTGATTCATATTTAAAGGTCCAGTTTGTCCAGCTAAAAATTCAATTGGGATTGGGTGATTTCAATCCAAATTGCTAAATTTTTAAACCTTTCTTGGAACAAATATATAATTCAACTCTTATTTCAATGCTTTCCAAGGTATTCACCTTGCACCTCCAAGTGTGCCTAACATCATCGTCCACCTAAGTTTGGCATCTCCATGGGGTAGATGGTATATATGCCAACACAGTATTCCTCATGGGCATCAACAACCTCTATGCTTCATGTCCTACAGAAAATTATAGTCCTTCACACCTTCGAACACCCTTTGCTCTGGTACTCTCATGCTACGAGACTCTTAACCCACCTCTAATGTTATACAAGGCCTTCTTGACAAAGGTCACGCATTCTTGGAAACCCACAAAACCTGTCATGAAGGACTCTTTCAAGCATCACTAGGGTCATCTCTCATCCAAGTTGGCCTCGAAGATACTAATCTAAACCTCCAAGGCAGTGACACATTCCCAAATTCTGACCAACGGCCAACCTCCAAGGCAGTGACACATTCCCAATTCTGACCAACGGCCAAGGTCATCAAACCATACTATTATACCATCCAGTGTTCAAAAAATCGACTTAGCCAAAGGTACTCGGATGAGGTGAGTCACTCGGCTGAGTCCGAGTAACTCGGGCGAGTTCACGTCATGCTAAAAAAAATGAAATAATGAAAATACATAAAGTTCAGGGAAAATTACAAAAAAAACCCAAGACTACACTTTCTATGCAACTTACCCTCAACCTAACTTTTCTCACTTTTTCCCCCAAAACAAACTTTCTATGCAAATACCCCCAAGGAAAAAAGTCCATTTGTTTAAAACGGAAATGCCCTTCCCGTACACAAATCATTTTAGCCAGATTTGACATTGACTTATTCCCATACACAAAAATCATTTTGGCCAGATTTGATGTTGACTTTCATTTTGGCCATATTTGACATTGACTTCTTCCCGTACACAAAAATCATTTTGGCTAGATTTGACGTTGACTTTTGGACCCAGTAGCACATTGCCAGAACGCATAAGTGCCAAACCGCCCTAAGACAACTACCACGCCGAAACTGAATACTGTCGGACCGCCTTTTACCTAGTGTCGGAGCCCTAGAATCCAATAACATCTACTACCGCACCGCCTTTGCAATTGTCGGACCACACTTTACACGGTGCCAGAGCCCTACTACAAGACCGCACTTTACACAATGTCAGAGCCCTACTGCTGGACCGCACTTTACACAATGTCGAAGCCCTACTGCCGGACCGCACTTTACATAGTACCGAAACCCTACTGCCGGACCGCACTTTATACAGTGCCGAAACCCTACTGCCAGACCGTACTTATACAATGTCGGAGCCCCTATTTTGGTGGGATAGAGGAGAGAGAAGCGTGGGTAAGTTAAAAGTAAGGTAGCAAAGACCTATATAATGCCCAACAAACCAGTTAGACACAACTTGATTAAAGCCACGAAATAACAATATACATAGAAAAGCGGTACAGGGTACTCAGCCTTGCCTATAGGCTGAGGCCAAGTAACTCGGTCGAGTCCGAGTCACCTCGGTTGAGTCTAGAAACACTAATACCAACTATAACAAAGCTATTCTTCCTCTAGCCTAACCGTGTGGCTTTGACTCCCTCAAATTAGGCTTTCGCTTGCACCAACACACACAAGAGAGGGAACAAGGGACATGCCTCATTTTATTGCACTGTATACTTATAGATTAAGGGCACCACAAGCCCCTCAAGGGTCTTGGCCGAGGGCTTTGATACACACGAGAACATGCACGTGCACACTCGACCATTAATCACATCGTATTAAGAACTGTACTTCCATTGCTAGTCACCACCTAACGTTGCAGTTCAAGACCATGCGCCTCCAGCAATGCGTGCTTACCATGGTTTTTCTTTCTCACTCTCACATAGCCTATAAGTGTTACATTAAGCCTAAACCTAGGGCAATTGTGCAATTCAATTCGAGACTCAAAGTGACATCAACACAAAGAACTTTGGTGAGATACTCTGAAATTTAAAGGCTTTAAAATTAGTCAAACTAAAACAGAGTATATAAAATGCAAGTTTAGTAATAATAAGAGTACAGACAAAAAAGTAGTCACGATTGACAACCAAAAATACTAAAAAGAGTGCACTTTTGATATCTTGAGTCAATAATCCAAGAAAATGGAGAGATCGAGGAAAATAACAAACTTGGAATTAAAGCTGGGTGAAATTGGAGATGTGCTACCGAAGTTTTATGCGATCGCCATATACACCAACGAAGCTGAAAGGGAAGTTTTATTGGACAGCTATGAAACCAGTTGCATTTTATGAGGCAGAATACTGTGCAGTCAAGAAACAACATACCCATAGGATTTGTATAGCTGAGATGAAGATGTTGAAATGGATGAGTAGCAAGACAAGAAGAGATAGAAGTCAAAATAAATTCATACAGAGAACTTAGGTGTAGCTGTAATAGACAATAAGATGAAAGAAAATAGATTTAAGTGGACTAGTCATGTGTATGACAGACTCAGTACAACACCTATTAGGAAGTGCGAGTTGGTTCCAGTAAAAAGCTCAAAGGGAAATAGTTAGAAGTAGAAAGAAAAGACATGAAGACTTAACGGCATACTAAGATTCATGTAGCCGACCCTAAATAGTTAGAAAAAAGTTCTGATGATGATAATTGTTATAATGAATTTAAAATCCCACAAATTATTGGTCAACAAACCCAAATGTACCACCAATCATGCCTCTTGTACATTGGTCATGCTCAGGTCTTGTTAAAATCTGCTAGCCATTCTTTGGTCCAAATGGTTCACCAAAGCCCCACTATTTTGGCCATTTGTTCATACCATCTTGCCAATGTCCTTACTAATGGCCTTTGTTTCTAGCGCACATGTGCACATGCATCAACGCTCCACATCACACCAGCTAACCTCCTACAAAGGGTCACTTAAAGCTAGTACTCCCTCATATAGGTTTGTGGGTCAAAATAATTGGGCCACAAGGAATCACCCATAGTACCACAAGTACGTATTCGAATCAATTGAAATTTGCTGTCACAAGAAGTTCTACATGCCTAGCTCTGCGATCATGCATGACGGAGGGTGTTTAACAGTACGCACTAGCAATTTAGTGCCACACTTTTGTGGGCTTAGTCAGCAAATCCAAATCTTGGCTGCTAGATTTCAGTAAACTAGGAAATTTACAAGTTGGTCCAAGGCCTTGTCCACCAAGGCCTTGAACCTACTTCAAATACAAAAGTCTCTAATTCCTTGGAACTTAGAGAACATCTGCAATGAAATTAAACAAATGAGAACACAAGAAAGAATAATATCTAAGAACCAAAAATGTCACGTCAAAGACATTAACAATATACGTAGTTTCTTAACAAGTGGTTCAATTCACTCTCCTCCCAAGCAAAGAACAAAGTTCATGGATTTCTAGAAAGCTTCACCAATTTATCCACAAAGCCTTCTCGTGTAATTTGTTCAATTCCTGTGTGTTCGGTCCCCCTAGCCATGATTGAAAATCTCTGAGAATTGCAGGAGACAAAAATAAAACCCAGCAAATCAAACCTGAAGAATTTCCTGAAACAAATGTCAGTTCATTATTCAGGGCATATGTTCAAATAGCATATTCATTGTTGAATTGGATATGCCAATTTTCATACTCTACCATTTCTATGGCATGATCTCCATGAATCCTTCCAGCAAGGTTTGACCATTCACCATCTTCGTAGTGGCAATGATTATGTCATAGGCCATTCCTTCCTGCAAATCATGCATCAGGGAAGTGAGAACAGGGACCCACTCAAAAGGTTTATATTTACAATGTCATGCTTGATAGAAAACACGCAAATAACTTGCATTAAGAGAGAATAACATGTGTAACCATTCCTCAAATCTAGCCAATAAATGTTTTACCACATGATTAATCAATGCATACAAGCAGACTAACCTATAATTGGCTTTTATGCATGTTAGGAGTCAGAGACAATTGACAACACTGGGGAGCAAGCACTGGCATTTCTACAGCATTAGCATGCTACATACTATTTAATACTCTAACTCCAATGTATGTTTTTCTAATTCAACGACACCTCCCCATTGATATGAATTCTGACTACTGTTTTGGCTTGTTTGGCTTATAAATCATTGAACAAGGACAGGATTAAATGTGGATGCATCTATTGGAAATTTTTTCAATTACAGTAATTTAGGCAGACAACTCTATAAAATCTATGTTGAAGGGATACAGCTGGAAAATTGCAACTACCATTTAATGACGCAAACCACGTTTAAAGCAAACATAAGCAAGGTATAGCAGAAACCGTTATTGTTGAGACTTTTATATGTTTACTGGCCTCCTGTGAATATAAATCAAAGTGGCACTTGTTCTAGGACTAATGTATATGAAAAAACATTCCAAGACTTGACACATAGACGTAATGAGTAAACGGGAAATGTTCTCACTACAAACTATGAAGGAAGATGCACTAAGTATCAACTAGAAAATGTTCTAGATCAAGGTTAGTATCACTGATGGTCATGTTCTAGCTGGCGACAAATCATTTATAAAACTCATTTTACTAATTTGGACAAACCTCAAGCGAATTTGGTTCGCTCAGTACCTAAGATAAAAATCATTTCGTATCAAGAATTGGAACGGCAGTGCCTTTAAGGAGTGTAGCCTGTCATACTTGAAAAAGGGGGAACTTGATGTCCACTTTATTTTCATGATTAGTGTCGCATGTTGAACGGGTCTAGGAAGGGTAAGGACCTTAAACTTTCTTTTAACCTGTCCCAAGCTCTGGTAAAAGAGGTGGGTTGTGTTCGGTAGGCACCCAACATAAACCTTGCCAAAACTTTCCATGGATCTTGAAAAGATATGGGGCGGACCAAGATTTGTATAGCTGATACCAAGTGGTTGGAAAAAGGTTCTGATGATGATGATCATGATGATCGGGAATTGGACGTGCTTGGCCCTCAATTGGCCAAAGTTTGTTAGACAAAGCATGACCGGGACCATGTTTGGTCAAAATCTGGATCCACTGCAAGTTAATAATTTAGCATCTCAAAAAAATAAAAAAGATGCAATTTCGATCTAAGACTCATTAAGCCAACTTGAATGCCCCAAAAGTTAGAATCCCTACTACATAACCCAAAGAATGATCCAATAATACGTAACCTCGTATGAACGTGAATATTTCCCAAAAACTATGATACATAAAATTCTCTTTTCAAGTTTTTAGGAGCTCTCAATCAATAAATTCAAATTTTTCCATCTCCTTGATCCTACCCCATTACCATTCCCACAACAGGTCCAATGAAAGCTGTCGTCAAGTGTCATGTACTGCAATAACTGTTGGCAGTGACTGTTTATTATTTGTAAATGACAGCTTTTATAATGCACATGAAAGCCATAACTACCATGATTTTACTTTCAAATTGTTCTTGCGGGTACAAAATACACACACAACTGAATGAAAACACTCTGTTTGGATATTGAAAGATATTGACCATATAAACAATATGAACCAGCCATCCCATACTAAGCTCAGGTACATGAGCAGAAGCTATCAGTGGCAGAATAGGGAACATGTAAAATCAGCATCAGCATTAATGCATTCAGATGGTAACTAGAAATAATATCATGAGAAATCATATCCTCCATTACATTTTACCTGTGAACTTAGAAATCGTAAAGCAGAAATCTCAGCAAATGTTACTCCTCCAATAAAGACAACCAAAACAAGAGACCGTCGCCCATCTACCAATCTGCTCAAGAGTTTGGAGAAAAGGTCCCATCCATAATAAGTTTGGAGATATGTAGCAACAAGAAACAACAATCTGATTTTGATTAATAATACATCACTCCCAAGGAAAGCATAACCAATAAACATCATGATGCCAACAATCAAAGATCTAAGTCATAGTACCTCTCCTGTTTTGCATACGGGAAACCATTCATCATTTCATCCACACTGCATTTTACTAAGTCCTTCTGATGCATTTTTCCAATTTTGAATCTCATTTGAGTGATGTGACAATTAAAGGCCAAGAAAATTTCGGGAGATTGAGAGTCCACATATAAGAATGCATGAAAATAAGAAGTACAGATGTGAAAGGCTATAATATAATTACCTTACAATGTCTATATCCTCCATACCTCAAAGTGTATTGATACATTAATAAGTACCTTATAATGTACAAAATACAACTATATCCTCCATGATACAGTAAATGACCTCAAAGTGTATTGGCACATTAATTCGAAATAGTTCAGAGTACATGTTAAGTATATTTTTCATTTCAAATAGCAAATAGTTTAGCACAAAATAAATCTTTTGAAAACACACACTGAAACTGGTCAGAACAGGTTGATTGTTGACAACTTTCATATGAGAGTCATATCACACCTTGGTAAGAGTTTTATGAATAATCTGATTTAAAATCTGGACAGGGTGGAAAACACTTTGTCAAACATGGGAAAAATCACCCAAGGTTCTTGATTTTGCTAGGAAGTGCCAGGGTATGCTGATTGGTAATCATTTGGGCGAATCCCAATTTGACACACTAGGGTTTAGATCCTGTTTTGATTCAGTTGAGGAAAATTTTCTTTTCTTGCAAATCAAAGGAAGTGTCTGGGAATCATGCTTTCAGTACCATGAAGGAAATGGAAACAGAATATGACTATTGAGTGTGAGAAGTACAAAAGAGAGGCAGTAGAATGACAAAATTTCTTGTCCTAATAATCTACGAGCTACAAGTACATTACTCCAGGACACAACACGTTGCAGTTGCTTTTGGAAGGCATGATTTGTCACCTGGATGTCCATTTGAAGCGTTCCAGAACTTTTCAAAAAGCTTCATCAATATCGACAAGTCATCTCGATGCCCAGAGTTCAGTGAAAGGATTTCTATGGATGTTTTTAGTTGTTCTGGTTTTGTTTTGGACTTGTCTGAAATTTTCAGGAATTATTTTGTATTTCCTGTGAAGGGTAGATTTAGTAGGATCAATAATTCCTTGATGCAGCGAGAATCAAAGAAAGCGAGAAAATCTCAAAAGAGGGGGAGTGCAACGACATTAATCGAGCATCACCACTCTAGAACTCAAAAGCTCCACTATGACAGATACAAAACAGTCCATTTATAAGCATTTGAAACCCTAAAATTAACTTCATATCAGTATTAGCAATTTAAGACTCCAAAATACTGCTAATAGTTAATAAATACCAAAAAAACTCTAAATAATCCTAAAATTCGTCACTATTTTCAGGCATATAATTTAAACTAGGATTTGAGGCCCAAAACAGCAAAGCTCTGGAAAAACCCTAGGAATAGCCTTTGTAGATAATGAGAGATCTTTGATTTGCAACTTGAAGCACCATGATTGGACATGTGAGTGAAAAGTTATGATCCCTAGATAATGACTGCATCATTCTATCCTCCTCGAAAATAACTCGTCCTTAAGTTCATTATGCAATCGCTCCTTTTCAAAAAATTGATGTTCTATGTGCTTTGCATACCTTTGTATTTTTCCTTCATTTTTGCAGTTGGTGGTGTAGTCCCAACATGCACTTTGGTTCTCCTTCACTGGATCTCCATGTAATAACATATTGTGTATATTTATGGGCTTGACCAAAATCCTTCATGAATAATAGTTGAAAAAATTCATTTGTGTTCACTGTTAAACTTTTGAAATTTAAAAAAATTTAAAACCCTTCTCACAAAAAGCTTAGTTTCCATCATATGCCTCTCTGATCACCAGTTCTTCATCAAGATCCTCACCATATATAGGCACACCAATTATGTCAATAAGTTGTCAGTCAATCTTGCAATCCGAAAGATAACCGCAAACGGATTCTCTTCTGAAACTTTTAGAAAATATCCCTAAAATGTAGGGTAGTTTGCACGTATGTCATGCAGCTCATACTCACCCAACATGCCTTCCGGGTCTGCAGCTCCATGGACCACCAGATCCAACATTTGAGTCTAGCCTGCAATGGATTGTGCAACTCAGCCTCGAGGAACTTGTACGGCTATCGGGTATCTAATCCTGCAGCGATCAAGCCTACTCTGATACTCATTTGATGCAGCGAGACGTGAAGAAAACAAGAAAATCTTAAATAGGTATAGAAGTTATGGTTATAAATAGGAATTAGGTTTGCTTTTTTTAGTTTAGAGTTTTAAAATTTTGGATTTCTATTGTTTTTCTTTTGAAAGAAATATATAGGATATTAGGCCCTAGTACGCAGGGCTTGCAACTTTTATTTGCATCTCGTAAAGTTCTCTATTGATTTTCTTCCATTGTGCATGCCTGTTACTTGCTCCTACATCACAACACATAATGATAAGTAAAACAATACAAAATACACAAGCAAGAGAAAGATGCTTGGAGTCTCCTGTGATATTTTACAGCATATTTCTTCGCAAAAAGTACCTCCCTGGACACTGATTTCTCCCTAAGAACATTTTTGCAGGAGCGATAGTCCAGGAAAGTAGCAAGAAGAAGTCAGAACATCATTTCAACAACATACTATGATTCACACTGTGGCAGCACTTTTTGTATAATAACTAGATAATAAGATTTACCAGGTGTTATTAATTGTAGGTCCATCAAACGAACTTACGAGCTTTTTATCCATCACCTCTCGAGATGGTGACTTTAACACTTCATCAATTTATTCTTTTGGTACTAATTTGTAGAAGCACTTCCCAATCACGGTCTCCACCAAAACGTTCGTTTTGTTATGAAATATAATTTCAAAATATCTGTTTTCCAAAACATAGACACTAATCATGAGGTAGTGATGATACAAGCACTGACACCTCCAGTTATTTTTAATTTTAAAAAATAAATAAGAGATTAGCATTTGAATATCTAAGTGTTTTTTTTTTCTTAAAAGAAAAACAAGATATTGGTGTTTCAAATACCGAAATTTTGTAACAAAATACATTTTTAAGAAGACAGATTGTCTGGTGGAGGGGAAAAAGTGGAAAGCAGCGTCTGACACATAGAGAATTATGCACTATTAACAACCATGACTTATAATGATCAAGCATTAAAATAAGCAACTGTTAAGGGATCTTTATATGAATCCCAAATAATTCAAGCAACCATAAGTTATAGACGTATATTGAGCTTCACCACAAAACAAAAAAAATACAAAAGAGTGCTATGCTCATTCAACTACAGGGTACCTTTGTCATCAAGACAAAACCTGCCAACATAAAAATAGAACCTCGCATACATTGGTCCTTATAGAAATATCATGTACATAAACCTTCTGAATAATACCTCCTAATGCAATGAACGTATATCCCTACTAAATTCACATAGAGTTGTCGCCATGTGTGTATATTTGTGTCAATATTATGAAGCAAACTTACTAATAGGAAAATTAAACTTGATTTGTCAAGTCCCAAATCTGAAGAGGGCGTCATTGGTCCAAGTCAGATAAAAATCATGATTTTCATGGAGACAAAGTCAGGGGCATACTCGGTACTGTTCATAGGAAAAATGATTTATTTATTTATTATTTTTAATTGGGGAAGGAAAACTGATTTCTGAACCCAAAGTTAGCAACCGCTAGCAAGTCTCAAGCAGTGTTCGCAAAATTGAATCGAAATGGTTAACCGGACATGGGCCTGGAAGCGGTTTAACCGGCCTAACCAGTAAACCGGCCAATTCAGCTCTAACCGGACAAGTCACGGGCAGTCAAAAAAATGTTGAAAAGAAATCTACTAAAATATGAAAAGCATATAAAGAATGATTGAAACAAAACACATTCAAATGAAATTGAAAATTAATGAAAAAATATGGATTTTAACCTATTTTATATTTTCCAATGGCTATTTTTAAAATTTTATAAAAAGGATGGGAAAATATAAAAGTGAGTATTAATGTCCAAAACAATTTTTAATCTTTACCATAATGTAAAGAATATTTAAAAATGCATTACAAATCAAATTCCTTATTTTTGAGAATTTATATACATTTTTTTGAACTTTTTTTTTTAAAATACTAGTTGATCACCCTAACCACCCAAAACCAGAACCGGCCAGCTGGTTCCAATCTAACAGGGTGGTTAGCGGTTAGATCGGGCGATTTTGTGAACAATGGTCTCAAGCCTATTCAGCGAATTTTATCTACTGACACTCCCACAGATATCTTTAATATTTTTACAACAGTGTCCTTAGCAAGGGAAAGGGAAAAAGATGTGTTGTGCAGAATTTTCCAAGGCAGACAGTTCAAATGTTTTGTATCAATCTAGTCTTCCCATTTATTATAGTGTAAGATGCAGACATACTTATCGAGGTTGGCGAGGCCTTCTTGTTGAGTCTCCAATACTGAACTGTTGGGATATCCCTCCTACGTGCATGGCATACATAATCAGTAAGAATAAACAAATGCCAGTAAATCATGACAGCAACATATGTGCAATAGGTACCCACTCTTTTGAGTTCCATATGTGGTCCAGGTAATAGCTTTACGATATCCTCAATGGCACGCCTGGAGTTCGAATTTCACACAAGAAAAAATGGTTATATAGAATAAAACCTGTGATAATAGAGGAAGGAAGCCTTAATAAGATGCTTCTAAGGAAATCAAATTGCATCCAGAGCAGACACTGGTATTTATCAGTTAGCTTCCAATACATGCACAATTGTCACTAAATCATGGACAAAAAAACAGGTCCTCAATTAAACCACTGATATTCCTAGACATCCAAATCAATTTGTCGCAAGTCTCCAACTGAATCAAGCCGTAACCAATTCGTGTAAGAATCTAGCCAAATAAATTAATAGAAAAGGACACTAGGTTTTGGCAGCTTAAAAGGCAGTTCTTACGTCCAACACAATCACTCAGTAAGCTCGTCTTTGGCAGCAGCTTCCAGCAACATGCATGGATTTCATATTAAGCCATTGCAAACTTCTATAGCAATCTATAATAGGGACATCGAGAGAGGCTAACATGTGGCTGAGATGTATATTTGATATCCTATAATCCTTATAATTGTGCAACATAGGATAAAGAATTTTATCCAAAGGTTTCATGCTCCGAGAAAAAGTTTTGGTACTAATGGGTGAACTATAAGTATATGGACAACAGCAAGTTTTTTAATGAGAAAAATACCCATATGAAGTGGGAGCAAAGTTCAACATGTAACTGCTGTCTCCAAGTCATAGCCTGGTTCCACTCGGAGCAACTTGATGTGGCAGTTTCACCTGTATAAGACAAAAAATAAAAGGTGGTTGTCCAATTATCCTGGGTCAGCCCTTCCTCCCTCCCTCCCTCCCTATCGTTTTGGTAGAACCTTGAAATGGAGAATATCAACAGCTGCTGAAGTTGCCTCTTATAAAGGGGACTACAAATTGTGTCCATATATCACCTTAAGAAGTGGAAGAAACAAAACAAATAATCCAATGCAAGACTAGACCATTTTAAAAATATCAATACTGATGGGACAGCAATCTTGGGAGAAAGCAAGGATGCAGATTCAGTGCAAGTGATAGGCGATGGTGACCAGATATGTATCTGGCAAGAGTCTTCATTCAAACATGGATAAGTATTTGATGGACCACGAAAGATATGAATCTGGCAAGTGGTTTCATGGATAGGTATTTGGTGGTTGTCTTGGTCCTTAAGGTTTGAATCAAGATTCCGAACAGCAGGATTGGGATCCCTAATAGTGGGGATTGAGATCCCAAATTTAAATATTGAGATCCCGAAGAGATCCATTTCAGGACAACATCAGGATCCTAGAAGGGATCACCAACAAAAGTAGGCGATCCTGGTAACTACAATCCAAGCTTTTCTATCATGGTATCATAGCTGGTTCGAATACCCTAGATCTTCAAGGATCTTCCCACCATATCTTCTTCAATCTTCTCTCAGCAAACAGCACCCATCTTCTTCAACCTTCTCAAAGCAAAAAGCAGCCATCTTTCTCCACACAAACCATGACAAAAGGTTCTTTATTTCCTCTTTATCTTTATTTTCTTAAAACCATAATTCTCTCTATGCCCTTCTTTCTTCTATCTCTCTAATTTCCAGTTCTCTTTCTCTAAGGCATCTCGGCTAATCTTCTCTTTCTAGGGCATCATGCACCTATCTGTCCAACAGCTGTTTCTCATTCCTCTAGGTAAAATCTCAAAATTTATCCTTCTATAAAACCCTAATTTATGTGTTCTATCCAGGGGATCACGTCTTTTCTTCCTCTAGGGCACCAAGTGCTCACATTTCTTTATCAAGGCATCACGTGCCTAATATTCCAACAACCCTTTCTCTTTCCTCTCAACTTCTAGCCCAACATAATGCCTTCTTTCAACCCATTTTCTATTGTCACCACAAAGTTGACTTCATCCAATTTCATAACAGGGAAAGCCATCATCGAACCATTCGTTTGTGGTCAGAAACTTATGTGATACTTAGATGATTCCTCAAAGCCTCTTTCTATCTCCCTATCAAAAATCACATTAATGAGATTGGCAAAATAAAGCTCTCTTTCACAGACCTCTCATATAAAGAATCAGTTGCTACCAATCAGCAACTCATTGGATAGATCAGTGCAACTCTCCCAAAAGAAATCCTTGTAGTCATTGGAATTCCCACAACTTCAGAATTATGGAAGGCTTCACAAAAATCTTTCTCACAGGAGTCTACGGCACGTGTGATGCACTTGAAGCTGGGACTTCAACGATCCAAGCAAAAGAAGATGAAAATAATTGAATCTTATAACATAATTAAAGGGCTTGGTGATCAAGTTGCCATGATCCAACAACCTGTTAATGAGTCCCTCTTCCATAGTGAACCTACACAGAAAACACATACCAGAATCATGATCCTCATGACGTGTTGATCACAGCTAGTAATCCTGCAACATATAACGATGGAAAAGGAGGATGTGGACAGGGGGTCATGGCACCAGAGGTCGTGGAAGACTAGATGGATTCTGTCCATTTCAGGGTGTGGCCTTCTTCATGCGCCAATTACTACCCGCAGAATACAAATCCAGGGTATAGTATGGTGGCATGTCATATTTGCAGTCGCTGAAATCATATTGTAGTGGATCAGAAGCGACAAAGTTCAAGTAATGAAGACAAAGTTGTTGCCCTAAACACATCAATAGAAGCCATGACATTATGGGGTTGGGATATGGGTTTCCAGAGCTAACCATGTAATAGGTGATCCTAGTAAATTTCTATCTCTAACCCTTTATTCTAGTAATTTCTGTAATAACTGGAGATGGGTCCCCGCTCCTTATCGCATACATATAAGTGTACATGTAAACTGTTCCACTCGTCGATACTTTTGAACAATGTGTTTTTAGTTGCTAAAATCAAGTATTGTCTGTGTCTCTCGGTTGACTCAAGAAAATAAGTCATAGATTGTTTTTACACCATCCTTTGTTTCTTGAAGGATCCATTGTCCAGGACAACGTTTGCTGAAGTGATTTGACAAGCCGTCTATATGTTTCGAATAATAAATTGAAGAAGCCCTCATTGTTTGTCTCTTCATTTCAAATAAGTGATGTCAATGTTTGGCATCACCGTCTAGGTCATTGCAGTCATGACTCAGTCAGCAGGTTAGGTAGAGAGGGTTTAATCCCATCATTGTCAGTATCTTTTTGTCATGCTTGTCAATTAGGTAAACATTGAAATTTCCTTTTCCAAAATTCCAATAAAAGAGCTTCATCACATCTTTACTTAATCCATTTTCATATGTGGGGACTGTTAAGAACATGTAAATAATGTATAATGTATAACTATAGTCAATTTATAGTTTGTTTTGTACCATGTTGTCATAAGCATCATACTCAAGGGCCTAATTGTACAATACAACTATATATACTTGATAAAGAGAGGCGCGCATTCCCCAAGTTAGATCAAGGGGGATTTCACACACTTTTTTCTCTTATTCTTTCTCTTTCTCTTCAAGCTTTACCATGAGGGATCTGCACCAATTGCTTTTCTTACACCAGATATTATAAGATTTTTGTGAACGTTTTTCACGATAAACTTGGATGAAAATGTGTTTTATGAGTCAGCAGACTCACTAGCCCGCTGACTCACAAACGTTCATCTTTAAGATGAACGTCCACAACTAAATATTTCTATCCCATGGATAGGAAAAAAATTTAAACAAAATGTTTTGAAATTTTATTTCATGTTATTTTTGTTTTATATTTGTGATCATCATAGTGTAGATCATGGATCTCCACAAATATAGATCCAAGAACGATATAAAAAATAGGTGTTAGAGGGAGCATACATGATAATAATATGAGTCGGGGGACTCATAAAAACCAGGGTCCTACTTGGATTTATTAATATTCCCTCAAGGAAAAATCCCCAGTATTTGAAACGTTTACACAATTTAAAAACTTTGTTAATGATCATTTCTGTAAACCAATATTGTTCTTCTGTAGTGACATCTCATGCTACATTAAACTAACGGGAGGGCAACAAAATTCATCTGCACATACTCCACAACAAAATGAAGTAGTAGAAGGAAAGCATTGCCATATTAGTGAGGCTGCCCTTTCCTTGATGTTTGATAGTGGGATCCTAAAATACTTATGAACTAAAGCTTTTCATGCAATTGTTTATGTCATAAATCTATTGTCCACTAATGTTTTGAGTGATCGAACCCCTTATGACATGTCTTATGGTAAGCATGCAGATTATTCATATCTTTGATCTTTTGGATGTCATGCTTATGTTCATATAGATCAGAGTCAAAGGATGAAACTCACCCCTAAAGCAGATGTGTGCATCTTCACAGGATATAAAGGCATTATAAAGGCTATTGTTGCTACAGCCTAGATTTAAATGTGTTCTTATATCAAGAATGTCACCATTGATGAAATAAGGATGTGCAATCCACCTAGAACCATTCTACAGAAAGATGAAAGTGAAATCAGAAAGGGCATAGTTTGCGATATTTAGCGATATTTTACCAGGACATACTCCCAATGACACCCATCAACCGGGTAGTGTTGATGAGAATGTGCCACATCATCCCCGTGAAGATTTCGATATCTTTATGATGAGCAACATCCATCTAAACGACAGCCTAATGTTGCTCTCAATGAGTTGATTGTTTATTGCAGATGGAAGTAAAGGGAAACAGGTCGGTGCAACATATACACTAGAAGGGTAACATTGTAATAGAGGTACGAATCAGAGAGACAAGAAGATTATAGTGGGGATATTATAGCAAGTCAAAATATTCAAAGATTTAATGTGTATGTCACCTTATAGTTCGATGGATAAGCTATGGAGGCTTTACAAATAACTAGCAAGTGTTTATTTGCAAAGCCCTCAAACAAAAGGAACCTGCCAACTACTATGCCGTGAAAAATGATCCAAAATGGGTTGAAGCAATGGCCGGAGAAATGAAAGCAATGTTTCTGAATTATACATGGGAAACTATGAAGAGGCCAATTTGAAGAATGTTGCGGGCAGCAAATGGATGTGTAAAACAAAATACACGGCAAATGAAAGTATCAAACAATTTACCGCTAGATTAGTGGCAAAAGGACTTGATCACCAGCATGGATTGGACCAATGGTGGATAATTCACCTGCCCGGGCACCTAGGCCAAAGGCTCTGGGCACATTGCCCAGGGCTAGTCAGGCGGGTATGGGGCATATGTCACAAGGTGGGCCCCTAGGCAGCCCGCAATAATTACGAAAAGAGGGGGCGGAAATTCCCTTCAGGTAGAGGCAATTTCCATAATTTTGCCCTCATTTTTTGGATTTAAGACATCGGGGATTTCATATTAACCCCCCAAAACCCTACTAGAACAAATTTACAGCAAAAATAAAAACTCCCAAATCCGGATTTTTGGTGAGAAATCTAAGATTGAGCAAAATATAAAAAATTTTATTTCTTGTGAAATCGAAAGATGTTTGCACCCAATCTTTTTGGGGCTTGAAGTCGTTGTGACAAGAGGTTTTTGCCAACCAAAGCTTCCCCTTTCAAATCTTGAGGGGCTTTGCTTTAAAGGTTAGAGATTTTCAAGTATTGGGTTAGGTTTTATGAGATATTCAGACATATTATATCTTCTTCTTTTTTGTGGTTTTTGTGTTTTATTTCATCTTTGGAATGTGCATTAGTATGATGGGTTTCAATATATTTTTTAACAACCAAAATTCATAGAACCTAATCAAATCACCATAATTCTCTCCTAACTTCTATGTTCCCAAAATTCATTAGACCTAACCAAATCAAACATAATTCTGTCCTAACTTTTTTGTTCATAATTTCTGTGTTACTTGCATTTTTTTTCAATTTTAGTATATGGATTTGTATAGTTTGGGTGTGTTTTAAGTTTTCAAGCTTCTTAGTTCACTTTGGAATTAGGATTAGGATTTGAAACCCAGAGTCCAATCAGCTGGTATCCAGGGGGGTTTGGCATTTAACCTAACCCTGAAAAAAAAAATGAAAATTTCAGTGCCCTGTCTCTGGGTGCCGCCTAGGTGCCTAGGCAGCCCGGACCCCTCAGCGCCTAGGCGCCGCCTACTGAGTTCTCCAGCATTGGATTGGACAATGAAGAGACCGTTAGCCCAGTTGGTTAGTTCTATCATTAGCCTTGACATATGATTGGCCTCTATTCCAGCTTGATTTAAAGAATAAAGGTTTTCGCAAGAAGTTAAAGGAAGTATACTTGGTTTCAATGAAACGGATCCTTTAACATGTATATTCAAACTGAAAAGATCCATTTATGGTGTAAAGCAAGCTTCTCCTAACTAGTTTCAAAGTTTTTATCATGTAATAAAGGCATATGGATTTGCAAGGATAGCAGTGGAATACTCCCAGTGCATTCACAAGAGAACTAGAGGTATTGTTATTACTCTCTTATATGTCGATGATATTATTATTACATGAAGTTCTCCGAACCTTACTCCAAATATTAAGAGATTTCTCCATACCAAGTCTAAAATGAAAGATTTGGGAGAAATGAGACATTTTCTGGGATAGATGTCGATGGGACTCAAGACAAAATTCGATTGTCTTAACATAAATACGTGCTGGATATACTTGAAAAGTATAATATGTTGAATTGCAAACCATCGACCACAGCTGCAGCGCTTAACAAAATATTGAGAGCTGGTGAAGGCAAATTAATTGAAGATCATGAAAAGTACAAAAGCATGGCAGTTGAACACCACTATCTCACTCTCAGTCATTCTGGGATTGCCTTTGCACTAAATTAGGTATGCCAATTTATGCGTGGGGCTACCAATGTTTACTTGGAAGCCTTAAAACATATAACCTCATATGTCAAAGGCACCATTAATCAAAGTGCAACATATCATATGGAAATGTTGCCTCCATTATTGGATATTCAAATGCCCAATTGGGCAGATCTTAACTCGTGCAGATCATTCTCACGATATTGCGTTTATCTGGGAAGAATTTGAAATCCTAGAGGAGCAAGAAGCAAAATATATGGTAGCATCAAGCACAGAAGCTAAATACAGAGGATTGGCTAGTGTTGTACTAGAGATTTCTTGAATTCCGGACCTAATTATATCGCTTCAATACAAGCTACAACACTTAAACAATTTATTGCGATAATCGGAGTGCTCTGGATATCACATCTAATCCATTTTTCATGATGGCACAAAGCACATCAACATCAATTTATCATTTTGTGCATGAGAAGATAGAAGAACAGGCAATTCAAATCCCCATGGGGACTGAGAGTCAAAACTATTGATATCACCAAGGGACTTTTTTTTTTGTGGTTTTGTTTGTTGGGGGGGGGGGTGGGGGGTTAGCTCAGAGGGGAAGGGATACCCTACCCATGTTAAGAATGGAACTCAATATGTCACCTTGTTGCGGCCCACCAACCTGACCACCTAGACTTGAGCCCATCCCTAATGTACGTTACATATACCTCTTTTTTTCTTGGTAGATAAGCAAGGAATGGGTGCCCTACCTGTGGTAGAAATTGAACTCAAGACATTATGTGGCACCCACCACCCTAGCCACCTCTGTCTTGAGTCTGTTCCTACACCAAGGGACTCAAAAGTGAAAGGCATCACTTTCCAAAAGACAAATTGTACATGTTCAAACACGATATATAATTTGAGAGGCCCTGTTAATAATATATACTTAATGGAGTCTATTGTAGTCATTTCATAAATTGATTGTACCATCATGTAATAACTGTCAAAAGTCAAGGGCATATATGTAAAGACTAATTAGTATATGCAATAAATAAAAGCACACACCCCAAAGTAAAAATCAATAGGGTTTCACGCACCTCTCTCTCTCTC